CTGCGGGATAATTGAAAACTTCTTTAAAGCGCTGTAAAAACACCTCAAAGGAGGGAAATGTTGAGCCGTCTGTTCTCCACACAGCGGTGGCCCACTCTAATGCCTTTCCAGTCAGTAACGAGCACACACAATAAATTTTCCCCAGATTGACGTCATCAGAGAAGGCATGCCATTCCAGAGCAGAAGCAAATGATCAGATTTTGATTAAAGATTACCAAAACAAACAATTTTCAGAGAATTAACTTGCACAGATTTATTGTTGACCTTAAGACTAGCAATGTGCTCCAACAAAATAAATATTGTAAATTTTGATTTCATGTGGACTTTTAACATCTCAAGTAATGTTCGTCGTATGATGACAACGACAGTGGTACATATAAATATATTTTAATTGATCAAAATTATTGCTAGGAACAATTCAGTTGCGCCCCTACTAAATTCTATGTCCTTGAATTGAAGGCATTTTTTATTAACAAATTTTGAAAAAACAAATAAAAGTTTCCAGAGTCTAATGTAGTCTGGTATAGATTGCGTTATCTGCCTCAGGCAACGGCAGTACGGAGCACAAGTTAAATGAACAAATCTTCACTTTAATACAAGTTATAATATGAATGTACATCAGAGGATATGTTGAAAAATAAAGTACAACTTACAATCACGCATCATTTCTGTGCCTATAAGCAGTTTTAACTAGGAAAATCATCAGTATAACAGCCTGTGAAGATTGGTCAGTTACGTGACATTTACCTCAGTAAGATAAAACCGTCTAGTCATATCGCCAAAATTATAAATACATTAGGCCATACATTTGTGTAGAATCTAAACAAGTTTTTATAACAACCATTTAAATGACTATACCCCGGTTTCACAGACGAGGCTTAAGCCTAATTCCAGACTAAAATTTAAGTCTGAGCTGTTTCAACTGAAAGAAACTTGCTCTGACTGATCTTAAAATATATCAGTGCCTTTATTTTGTCTCAAAATGCACACCAGTAATGTTTTTTTCTAAGTCACGTTTATAAAAATTACTTAAATGTCCTAATTGAACTATTTCCTTATCCTAGCTTAGTCTAAGCCCTGTCTTTGAAACCAGGCCTATATCTAAAAAATTAAGCATGTCATAATCACAAAATTAGTAAACTTTTTATTAAAAAAATAAAAGTTCACAATGTAGCCTAATAAGCCTAATTTTCTTTTAACAAAACTATGATTATGTTTTGTGCTCAAGATAATTACAAAGATAATTATGTAATATATGGTAATTATATTGTAAACATATAATAATAATTGTTTTAAATTGTGTGCTTGTATTACCTTATGAACTGTGATTACATTATGAGTTGCCACAGTGTGTTCGTAATGTAATACATTTCTCACACAATAACCTATTACATTATGTGAAAAAATTTTATTAAATTGAAAACTTATTATTACATTATGAGCTCAAGATTTTATTAAGTTTTGAGAAAATTATTACATTATGAACATTTTATTACAATAATAATGTAATAGCTATTACATTATGTGCAGTTTTTACATTATGTGCAGTTATTACATTATGAGTTGCTGCATATCTAATCAATTTAGGTAATACAATTTCATTTTAATTTTGCAACTTTTAAAGCATTAAAATATGTTTTTAATTTACATATTAAAACTAGTATAGAAAATGGCAAAGGTAAATTATATAATTGAATTTTCATTTTGCACTAAATGTTGCTCATATGTATGGGAAAATGTCAATTTAAATACAGAAATACATTGCCATTTTACATATTGCATTGTCATTTTGCATATTACATTTCAAAATGAATTTTGCTACCCATATGCTTCCATATTGTAGAACATCACAGTAATATATGATATGAGAACAGTAGGGTAGATAGGGAGTACATGTTATTTAAAAAAAAATATGATTATATTTTCAGAATGACATAATTTTTTTCTCAAACATAGTCAGTGGGGTAAAACGCCCCGAGGGGGCAATGGGCAATTACTATAGTTATTCTGTTCTGAACATCAAATCCTTTGTTTTTCTATCAAATTTATTCTAACTTGTATATAAATATAATATTCTATATTCTATAATATTCTATATTATGGGCCTAGCTGAAATTACAATTTTTGCCATTTTTGCACATCAAGCCCTCAGATTCATCCCCACAGAAATGCAGTTCTAAAGCACAGTTTACATAAAATCCTCTGCATTTTTACTTTATTATGAACTTTAACTTGTAATTTTAAGTTACAACTATAGATGTCGATAAAGAGCCTAAAGAGTTCATGTTTGTCTTTGTACATGTGGCCATGTGCAAATTGGAGATGTTCTTCTCAGTGCTTTAGTAACATGGATCATTTGTATCTACACTGCTGTCAATGAACGTCCAGCATGTCTAGACGAACCAATTTAAGTCTGTGTGTTACCTTTCATGTCTTTGTACTTTGGTTAACCTTGTAAATCGTGGCTCCATACGATAAGCACATTCTCGACCCGAACCTTTATTTGCGATGCTCAGCAATATGTTGAAATGATGCCATTGCCAAAAAGATGCAGAAATCCAATACAGAAATGAATATGGTATGCTAGAAAAATACAAAGAAAGTAAAGCAGAAAAATGATTTGTGAAGATGATTCCTGGGTCACTGCCTGGAAAAGACTAATAGGCTTCAGATTGGACAGCATCAGTTCAGATGTCCTAGTTTCATTAAGTCATCATGAATCCACTTAAGATTTTTATTTTTTTGGGTCAATCTCCGTCTTTTAACAATTTTCTAAGACAGCACAACTTCCTAAGCAACAAACAAACAAAGCTATTTTGGGAATGGCATGTATGGGAAATGAAATTTCTTAATATTTTAGCAGGATGCCTTTCCATGCATTTGGCTTCAATACCATGACTGAGGTGAGACCCTTGAGCAAGGCACTAACCTCCAACTGCTCCCCGTGTGTGTGTGTGTGCGTGTGCGTGTGCGTGCGCGTGCGCGTATGCGTGTGTGTTCACTACTCACTGCTGTTTGTGTACACTTGGATGGGTGAAATACAGAGCACAAATTCTGAGTATGGGACACCATATCTGGCCACACGTCCTTTCCTTTCCTTTCCTTTCCTTTCCTTTCTTTGCCTTTCCTTGCCTTGCCTTGCCTTGCCAAAAACACTCTAAAGTTCAACTAATTGCATTTAATATGTAATGATTTAAAATATAATGCATTTTCATTTAATTGCTATTAACATGATTGCGTGTCCGAAAACATTACATTTCGTTCACACTTAAGTATATTCTTTTAAAGTATATTATTTCTTTAATAAATAGGCTACTCTTTTTAAAGGTGCACTAAAATCAGGGCCCTAGCATTTTGGGCCTAAGCAGATTTTCAAAAGGGGCCCCACTACATACGGTTTCACCTAACCACCACCCCCCATTCTTCAATGTTCATATCCTACACTGACACCTTATTGTAAAGTTAAAGTAAAGTCTTACTCATATTTATCTTTCAAGATATAAATATGAAGATATATTAAGCATTTTTTTTATTATACACATTTGACCATGCAGTCAGAGAAAGATATCAAAAATTATGATTAATGCTTAAAGCAAAAACACCTGCCAGTAGGTTATGAAAATGGTCAAAGAGAATAAATGAATTATTATTACTATAATAATCTTATTATTATTATTATCTCTTTTCTAGCCTGCCATGTTTTAGTCCAGATTAAAATGGAAAAATATAGGCTTTACGTGCAAATAAACATGTAGGCCTAAATGAAAACAGGTAAATACTGTTTGACTTCCTTTCTTCTCTGTGACAATCAGGTAGACACAGAAAGTTGAGCTTGCAGCGCTGCTTTGTGTAGAGGGGTAATGATGGTAAACGCTGTATTTCTGCTGTTCCATAAGCGCCACCTCCCATCAGAGAATGAACTTGCCTTTTTATTCAGCCCGTCTGCTGATTTTGTTTAGATTGATGCGAAAATCAGACCGAATTTCACTCAAAAAACATACAGTGCTATGAAATTTAATTGGTCGCTAATGTCAACAATTCTGTGTTTTTCTGTCAATATGGGGTGCTGTGTGTACATTAATGAGGAAAAAAAAATTAACTTAATGATTTTAGCAAATGGCTGCAATATAACAAAGAGTGAAAAATTTAAGGGGGTCTGAATACTTTCCGTACCCACTGTATATAAATGTCTAAATCAGCTAATATATTTCTAAAAACCTAAACGATGCAGATAAGGTATCTAGAATTATTCATGTATTTTGAAGTGCCCATGAAAACACCGTGCACGACACTGACACTGTTGTTACCCTGGCACAGCGTTTTCAAAGCACTCACGAAATGCCGAATTAAATCGCCAAAATGCGATGCAGCAACCTTCTTTTCAACATTGTCTTTTAAAAATCCATCACTTACCACTATCTTGCTCACTTTCTTTCCTATTTTTACTCTTCTCTGCACCAGACTGATAGTGCCGCACCGCTTTGACATAAGGGGGAGCCGGGGGTCTTGCGTAATTCGCGGGGCCCTACACAACTTGCGCAGTGAGCATATAGGGCCGATCGACTCTGGTTAAAATGTATTTCTTTTTAGGGTAAGGAGGACTGCTAATCTTTAAATGTAAAGTGTTTAATAATAAAATTTTGCTTGTGCGCTTAAAGTTCTAGGTCTAGCCTATTTATTGTCATCCCTGCAGCTAGTTATGGGTTTTCCAAAAACGAGTGAACTAGCCTGGCTGTATAAGTGATATTGGTAAGTGAGTCAATGAGGAGCATTAGCATCTAGAAAGTGGGCATTTCTCTGCTTCTTGTAGCCTTGTATTTTGTAGTGTACTCACTATGTGTGTAGGACAGTAGTGTACTGACAGTGTGGTTTGAAGGTCTAGTTTTGTGTAGGATGTTTAATTTTTACAGATTTCCTGCTCCTTTAATCAGGAACGGACATATTCATATTGACATATTCTAAGTCGCTCTAGACCTCTTGAAAGACACAGAAGACACAGATGATTGTAAAATGCCTTTATTTGAAGTATAAAGGTTGAGATGTTAAGGTCTTGGGGGGCATTTCTCTTTCTTATCTTCACTTGTCGTTACAACAGAACTGCTCTGACAGAGTTTTTCACCTCTAGAGAGAAGAACTGCCACCTGCAGAAGACAAAATAAATTTAAATATACTAAGTTGCTAGTCATTCAATTTTGAAGTGGAAGTAGTAAAGCATGCAGGGCTGGATTGGTAATCGGGCATACCGGGCATTTTCCCGGTGGGCCGACGCACTTAAGGGCGTGTGTTTGTTTTTTGCCAAGGACCATCACACAGGGACAGCGAGCAGCCAGTGGCCCATTGGTTTGTCTCCTATATTGACAGCGTAAACCAACCAATCACAATGCGCTATAGACGGAGCGATGAAGTACTTTGCTCTGCCTATATAAAGATCGCTTCACTCCAACTTCTTCTCGTCGGCTTTTCCCACGTTTTCACAGCAGCATTATCAAGAACAGGCTTGCTCTTCGGTGAGTGATGCTGGCCAAAGAGCCAGGCAGGAGGAGGAGAGGAGAGTAGTTGAATGGGATAAATTACATTTTTAAATATATTCAAATAGAAAACAGTTATTTTAAATAGTAAAAATATTTCAATTTTGCTGTATTTTGGATCAAATAAATGCAGGCTTGGTGAGCAGAAGAGACTTGTAAAAAAAATGTACTGTTCAAAAACTTGAGACTGGTAGTGTATATCATATATGTGACCCTGGACCACAAAACCAATCAATCAATCTGAAAGCTGAATAAATAAGCTTTCCATTGATGTATGGTTTGTTAGGATAGGACAATATTTGGCCGAGATGCAACTATTTGAAAATCTGGAATCTGAGGGTGCAAAAAAATGCAAATATTGAGAAAATCGCCTTTAAAGTTGTCCAAATGCAGTTCTTAGCAATGTATATTACTAATCAAAAATTAAGTTTTGATATATTTACAGTAGGAAATTTACAAAATATCTTCATGGAACATGACCTTTATTTGACATAAAAGAAAAATCGATAATTTTGACCCATAAAATGTTTTTTTTTTTGGCTATTGCTACAAATATACCCCAGCGACTTAAGACTGGTTTTGTGCTCCAGGGTCACAAATAATAATAAATGGTGGTGGGCCGCCTGGACCAAAAAATGCCTGGGACGATTTTTTGTCCCAGTCCAGCCCTGAAAGCATGTAAACCTACCAAGTGTTGTTTGTTCATGGCTAACGTCTCCCGGTCGTATATTATCACTCCACCCGATCCTTTAGGGTTTTCCACACACTGGACAGGGGTCTAAATATACAATTTCAGTTGTTCATGTCATTAATTACTTTTAAGAATTTACAAATATACATACATATACATACATTTCACAAACAAACACAAATACCTTCATTTGACCCATTGTTTGTTGATGGTGGAGGCAGAATATTGTACCCTGAAAACAAATGCAAATAAAACAGTAGTTAGCAGAACCATAGTGTGACTTATAAGGAAGTTTGACCATCGTAATGAAGATTTGAACTCCTCAAAAGAAGTCATATATGTTTAAACTGTATGTTTTATTATGACTCTGCCCTGAAGGCACTGAAAACCCACTTTTCAAGTGAACAAAAAAATTAATTATTCAGTTTACCGTATGCAATGACGATAGCTTATGGATTGGCGTTGTAGGTTTCCAGACAAGAACTTTAAACACTACACCACAAGCTGTATAAAGCATGTTTGATACTGTATGTGCGACAAAAAAACTGTAATATTCAAAAGGTCTCATTATAGGCCTCAATTTAAGTGGTTAAGCATCTTGACGGATGAACAAGTGCCCAAAACAAGAAGCCAACAAAGATTGCAACTAAAAATAAATAATAGTGAATAACAATAGCAGTAAGTTTAAGATTTTAGCCATTTATAGACTCTATAGACTAACCACAGATGCAACATGCAGCGATTTACAAAAAAAGGCTGCTAGGCTAACAGCCCGATGTAGTCACCTAAACGAAGCACTGCTGACATTGTTACGTGCTATAAAAGCTTCAGTAGTTACTGAATATTGTCAATATCTTCTTTAATAGTTATGATCGAGTAATAAAACTTGGAAATATGAACATATCATGCAATATTATTTCATAACGCAATATTTACACCCACCATGAGAACCGGGATTTTTCTTAACTAACAACAAGAGGGTGCGCCCTCTAACGAAGATCCTCCAAAGCCTAGCAACAAAAAATTATTACGAATAAAAATAAATGGCTATCAAAATAAAATTGTAATATAAATAAATAATAATTATGCCACTTTATAAATTAAACACATAATGTATAACTGTATAATAAATTTATAGTATATGATAATTATTTCTAGACAGAATCAGTAGGAGTCACAAAATCTTTCATTTCAACAACTAATATTGTCTAAGATTGTAATAGCACATTTATTACATGCCTATTAACAGGCTTTATAAATAAATAAATAAATATCCATAAAAGCAGATCAAGCAATTTGTTTCATTAAAACAAACTTATCTGTCACCTCCAGTCACAACCACATTTTGCTGCTGTCGTCATGTCTTGAATTTATAGAGGGTAGAGGTTTCCATCCTTTAGTTGCTCTTCAAGGGTCTTCTGAAGGTTCTTCCATGAGCTTTGGTCTCATAATCAACATGACAAATGTGAACATAGTTAATAAAAAAAAGGAACCTTGATTGATTGATTCATCAAATGAGGCATGTGGTGGTTTTCTAGCTAAGTGAAACTGTTTACAGGAATGCAAAAACAGGATGCAACAGTGATGAGAAACCAAACCCAACACCACAGCCCACTGAGCATGCAAATCATGTTAGCAGTTACTTCTCTGATAACTTCCCGGAAAGTAACATTTAATGTGCTTTTGATCTCCTTATAACAAATGCATCCCTAATTATAGGTTTATTACATATAATTATTTCATTTAAATGGCTAAAATCCATTTTCAACAGTCAAACAGCATGTTTCAAGCAGAGGGTGAAACTGAAAATATTGTATTTTTTTACTGTATTTTTTCATTGTATTGTATTTCCTTGAATTCAGACTCAGAGTAGATCCTATATTGTCTTACATGAGAAAAATGTAATCCAAACTTGCCAAAATGCTTTTGTAACTTAAAGAAGACTTCGGTGCAAAATATATATATTTTGTTTCTACCTGTGTATCTGTTGGGAGAGAAAAAAAGAGAAAAGTCAGCCGCTCATAAAAAAATGTGCATGATTGCTTGACTGTATCTTTTCTCAAACTTTGTGTCTTTATCGAAGTTAAACACAGAACTGAAACTTCAAAGGCCGCCTGTTTCTGCCTCAAGACTCAAGAGCTGCTAAATCAAGCTATATTGGAATTGAGTATGAACGTGTTAACAAACAATTTGGCCTTGTTTAAATGTGATGTTAAATTCTAACATAATATATTAAGCTGTAATGTTTGAATGTAAAGGCTAGTAAGCAACAACAGAGTATGTGGTTCTAAGACATGACATAGAATTATGTCACAATACTGGCATACTGTCTTGGTGCACATTTTTTTCATAGTCATAGTATTTTACATAGTCATTAGTACAGAAACCACAATTTGCAAATAACTTTTTAATAAGATATTTACAGACAATTTTTATAAACAGTTTTACACCTTTTTGGTCCATTTTGACCTGGGGCTTTACCACATGATGTTGTGTACGATGTTGTTTTTCTTGTGTAAATTGTAAAATGTAAAATATTGTTACTATTTTACAATTGTAAACTGTAAAATAGCAATAACATGGTAATAACACTGTAACAACAAATAGCATTCAATTTTGAAATATTTGTGCATTCACTTATTAATGATAAGTTACTGATCACAAACAATATGGTTTTAGTTGAGAAATATGATGTTATGACGGTTTCATAAGCTTACGTTCCACCAGGTCCAACTGGCCCCAGGAATGTAATGAAAACTCATTGGTTTAAAACATCCAGTATATTCTGATTGGCTGTTCTGCGATCACCTCACATTGCATTGAGGTGAGAACACAAAAAACTACTTAATGCTTGAAACTCAACATATGAATACAATATAATGACGAGATTGACATTTACATTCAAATGTAAATGTAATTGAGAAATGAAAGTCTGAGCTGCATCAGTTTGTGTCAAGTATATAAGCCAGAGATTGACATCTAACCTGCACCAGTGTTTAAAAATGAAAACACTGGTATCATACGAAAAAAGTCTCAAATAATGCCATTCTGGTCCTGGGCTCGTATTCTTAAAGCTTCTAAGAATCCTTTCAGAGAGCTCTTAATTTAGCTTTAAAAATTCTAACTATGAATCTTAGCTTAAGAGTGATTCAGGACCAGTCTGAGAGCAACTCAGAGCAAGGAAAAGACGAAAACTTCATCTTAGTGAGGAGGCGGGGCTGACACTGTTGCTAGGTATGACACATTCTTTTGAAGACTGTGATTGGTTGTCCAAGAAGAAAAAAAAGAGCACTTTTAAATAGGGCCTATCTTTTCTTATTTACTCACACACACACACACACACACACAGCACTGTATGTATATATATATATACAAATATATATATATGTAAGCAAAAACAGAGCATAAGGTTTAAGACAAGACATTATGAATTATGTCACAGTATTGGCCTACTGTCTTGCTACACACTCTTGTGGGGACTTTCCCTAAAAGCCCCCAAAAAATGTTTTCTTTTTAGATATAAACAATTTTTCTAAACACATTTTTACACCTTTCTGGTCCAAATGGAGGCATTTTCTTTTTCTTTCTTTTTTTAAGTACTCAGATTATATATGTTTATATTTCACATGTTGCACATATGTTCACAAAACCAGTCATAAGGGTAATGAGGCATCTGAATTATGAAATTCTGGATTTTTCTTTTTTGCCATGTTTTGCCAAGAAAGGAAAAAGTCATACATGTTTGGAATATTAGGAGTGAAAAGTTAATGCAAGTATTGTTTTCTGTAATTTATATTGGTACTAATGCATTTCATGTAATGCATTTTGCACTCAGATTTTTTTTTTATTAATAAATGTTTCACTGTCCGATTTGCACAGTAATTGGGTTTTTTTTTTTTTTTGGTGCTGCTGAATGTCTCTTTGGTTCAAGATATGTCTGTCTATTTAATTTTCTCATCATGTTTAAATGGGTTGTCAGCATTCTTACCTGCGATACATATTTCCTACTAAAACAGTAAATGAAATCATATGGAAGGGCTTGTCCCCTTTTAAATAGCCAATAGCCATTGCTTACAGCCACGAGACATGATTTTCTAAAGTGCTACTGCTTTTAGTTGGTAGATTGTACACTATAACCAAAAATGTGGGGTTTTATAGCACACAATGACAGTGATTTCTATCTTTAAAACTTTTAACATGTGGGATGTAGAGAGCTTTGTACTGAACAGAATTATGTGTACCCCTGCAGACAAAGCAGTCATCAATATTTTTGTTTTTGTCCAAGAAGAAAACGTGAATTTTAAACGTGTTAAACATTTATTCAGTAATTTTTTAGCAGTGTATTCACATTACAAATAGCAGCAGACAATAACGCTGTAAACAAAATGCAACTGCATTTTTTTACATTTAAACAATTTCACCTTGTTTAAATGTAATCATCAATAGCATATTACATTTAGCTGTAACGTTTGAATGTAAAGGCTAGTAAGCAAAAACAGAGCATAAGGTTTAAGACAAGACATTATGAATTATGTCACAGTATTGGCGTACTGTCTTGCTACACACTCTTGTGGGGACTTTCCCTAAAAGCCCCCAAAAAAATGTTTTCTTTTTAGATATAAACAATTTTTCTAAACACATTTTTACACCTTTCTGGTCCAAATGGAGGCATTTTCTTTTTCTTTCTTTTTTTAAGTACTCAGATTATATATGTTTATATTTCACATGTTGCACATATGTTCACAAAACCAGTCATAAGGGTAAATTTTTTTTAATTGAGATTTATGCATAATCTGAAAGCTGGAATCTGAGGGTGTAAAAATATGTAAACATTTAGAAAATCGCATTTAAAGTTGTCCAAATTAAGTTCTTAGCAATGCATATTACTAATCAAAAATTACGTTTTGATATATTCATGGTAGGACATTCACAAGATATATTCATGGAACATGATCTTTATTTAATATCCTAATTATTTTTGGCATAAAAGGAAAAGCGATAATTTTGACCCATAGCATATTGCTACAAATATACCCGTGCTACTTATGACTGGTTTTGTGGTCCAGGGTCACATATATATCTTCTCATTCACAACTTCAGTTTATATAAAACAAAAAATTCGTAATTTTTTATTAATAAAAAACGGCAAATGTATTAATATGGTAATAACACTGTAACGACTAATACGTTTGTGCAATCAATTATTAATAAGTTACTGATAACATGCAATGTGGTTTTAGTTGAGAAATATTATGTTATGACTGTTTAATAAACTTATGTTTCACCGGGTCCAAATGGCCCCAGGAATGTAATGAAAACTCATTTGCCTAACACCCCACAACATCCAGTATATTCTGATTGGCTGTTTTGTGATCATCTCACATGGCACTGAGGTGAAAACACAAAAAAACTACTTGATGCTTGAAACTCAACATACCATGCACACAATACAATGACGAGATGTAAACCAGAGATTGACATTACGAGTCTGACCTGCACCAGTGTTTAAAAGCCTATCGCTTTTGATTAAAACAAATCATTAAACAGACCCTCTTTCAGTTTATGGTGGTATTGTTTTATGGAATGTAAAATGGAACAGCATTATCAAGCTCTGTTCCAACTGTTGATTGTCATAATAACAAGATCTTCACACAGTCTGGTCAACATTCACTTTATTAGAGACAATAATATGGATAGAAAAAAATAGCAGTCTGTACAACACTCTCAATGTGCCACATCAGCTGTTAGAAATGACTTCTGATGCGTCGCCCTTTGCTTTTGCTTCAGCTTTTCTTTTTCTCCTGAAATTAAACAGTGAAGATGTAGTGAAGTTAAACTACGATGAGAAACCACCATTATGATTAAGTCGATTAAATATTGCAATACAAAATTAAACTGTTAAAGAGTTTAAAATGATAGATGTTAAAACTATGAATTAATTGTCAATAAAAAGTCTGAAATAATGCGATTCTGGTCCTGTTTTTTTTTTAAATGCCGTGAGGTGTGTCCGGCTATCTGCACTGGGATCCAGAACAAACCTTTTTCTCTTGCCGGGCTTTTTCTCAAAGAGAATGCGTGGAGTCGTGCGAATAGTTGACCGTCTGGGGGGTTTTGTTGCAAGCTGCCGTTTCAATTTGCTGTAGGGAGAAAAATTAGAGGTCTTAAGCCACGTTCATGCTACAAGCAACACGCAACAACAAAGCGACA